TAACCATGGATAAGACACTTGAAGTCTCTGAGTTCAATTTTTCCTCATCTGCTCAAAGGAAAAGAATAATGCCTGCCCCTTCCCCACACTAAGGTGTTAGGACCTCAACTACAAGTATGTTTGTGAGCTACCAGTGGCATTTATAGTACTGAACAAATTATTATTACTCCTTTGTTATTATTTAAACTGAGTTTTTATAAAGTATTTATAACTAGGTTTTCAAAAGATGTCTGAGATACCTCAAGTTACTTAACCTTCATTGGGATTTACATTTTTCTCAAGTTCAACTCATCACATGAATTAAGGGCCTAATATTTTCCAACCAGATTATTTAGCTAAATCCAGAATAGATCTCCTTGTGTACCTTTGCTTTGTTTGCCTCCCAGAAACTAAATCAGAGGAGAGAATGCTAGTTAAGAAGAATAGACTGATGAATAATTTGCATTTTTGTGTTTTCCCTAAGGAAAACAAGAATTAATAGGACAACACAAAAACGTGCCTGTTTCGCTGAAGTACAATTTGAGGTCAGAAGCAGACACAAATTTCTCATTTAATGACCACTGTGATGAGCCTTTATGGCTTCACAAAGAGCCACAGCTTTGGAATCTGTGGTGGGATTGGGAGCCCTCCCCATGTTTCATTTGCGTTGGGCCAGGAGCCTGAACTGGAGGCAGGAACTCTGGACAGTCCTGGGCTGAAAGTTCTCTCCACTTATTGGCACTGTGCCTGTGAGCATGTGTTATACAGGTACAGGAAGGTCATCATGTTTCGATCAATGTGTAGAATGTTTTTTGCTGTAGCTGTGCATCTCCCCACTATGGTATCTGGAGGATGTTATATTGTGTGGTATTGAACTGGGCTGACATGCTCAGGGCAAGATAGCAGGAGCTTAGCGTAATGTCAGATCAAGACCAAAGAGATAATGTTTGGTTATTTATTCATTCATCTATTAATTCATTTATTCAGCTAACATTGAGTACTTGTGATGTTCTAGACTTCAGTGTTAGGGAAAACAAGCCGACAGTATCCCTACCCTTGAGAAGTTCGGTTGTACAAGAGAAGATTGACATTAAACACATTGTTTAAATAAATAAACAAGAGAGTTACATAGATGTGTGCTGTGAAGGCAATGCAAGCAATAAAGAGAAGACACGATTCCCTCAGTCAGAGAAGACTTCTCTGAAGATGTCACACTTACGACATCACCATAAGCATTAGTCAGGCAATGTCAAGGACAAAGAAATGTACTAGCAAAGGAAACAGCAAGTACAAAGGTCCACAGACGACAAAAGACATGGCATGTTTTCGCAAGAGAAGGTAGGCCTTAAGCAAGAGAGAGAATGGGGGCCAGACCGCACAGGCCCTGGCCACCGTTGTTCCTTGCCTGGACTGCTGAAGTAGTCCAGTGGCTGAAATGACAGTGACTTGGACTAGAGTCAACACAATGAGAACAAGATAACTGGAAGAGCTTAAGATGTATTTTAGAGGTAAGAGTGACAGAACTTATTGATGGACTGAAAATCAGGAATGAGGAAAAGAGCAAAACCAAAGATAGCTTCAAGCTTGAGCACCTGGGTGGATTGTGGTGCCATTTCCTGAGGCCTAAAAGTTACATAACTTGCCAGAGGTCACTCATCGAGGACATCCAAGTCTAATCTGTGTGAATTTACTTATTTATTTATTTATTTTTTAAATCTGTGAAGTGAGGTTATTACATTAAATTTCTGAGAGATCTTCTGGATTTGCGATGACGTTCTCATCTAAGTTAAATAGTTCATACAGAAATATCCTGAGGTTCAGAATGAAGAAATACTGTTAGACCCTGGTATTTTTGATAAATAGCACTGCGATGGAGTAAGTCTTTTATTTCAAAACTAGTAGCCAGAATCTTAAGAGTTTTTTCTCATGTATATGAAAGAAAAAGTGATTTTGTTTATTTTTCTCTTAGGCAAAGTGTATTCCTGGAGTTTCTCAAAAACAAGGTAGTTTGTTCTGTGAAGTAAGATTAGATTATTAACTGTCTCTTATAATCCCAAGCTAAGACTACAAAGTACAAACAATAAATTGCTTACAGTAAAGCATCCTGGTTTATTGTCTTAACATGCTTGGGCCTCCAGCCAGGACGCAGGCGGGTTTCTATAGAAAGAAGTGGTGACGTTTCAGTGATTCCAAACACTATCTCCAACTCTAATTCCACTGTCTGGGACTCACCCATTTTGACCACGTCTAAGATTCTGCTGTTAACATAGACAGTCCCACTTTCTCAAAGTGGTATATTCCTGAAATTCAACTTATGGGGTAGATCTCGTGTACTCATAAAAACAGTAGGATTGTGTTATTGACAAATGATGGCAGGCCATGAATCTTAAATATATCCAACACGTGAGTAAAGCAAAATAGCCAATACTCTAAATCTCTCATCAGTAAGTCCCTTGTTGGACTTTAAGCCCCTGAATCAGTTAGGCTACTACAAGGAACAAAACATCCAACTTAAAGAGGGCTTAATCAGTAAAGACATTTACTGTCTCACAGAACAGTAATAGGGTGATTCCAGGATGGTTCAGCGGTTCTGTGATGTCTCAGGGATGCAAGCTCTTTAGCCCTCTGCTCTCTCATTCTTGTCACAGTGTCTTGACCCTGAATCATAGCCCCTCATCGTTGTAAGATGACTGCCACGGTTCTGGGAAACACATGAGCCAACATTAGGCCAAAGAAGCACATCATTTTCTGCACTGTGTCTCTTTTAGTGGGAAAGAAAGCCTTTCTCAGAAGCCCCAAGCAGATATCCTCTGAAGTCCTTGTCCGTGGAGCACCCAGTTCTCCCCATCTAGACCGCAGAACATTAAACCTTTCCCCCTCTCCCTTGTTTCCTTCATTCTCTATAATCGATCTATTCTGGTTGTATTCCTGTGTTTACTACATTCATTCAGATCCTCATTAACTCTTTGCTTCCAGTTTATCTTCTACGATGCCATCGAAATTATTTTTAAGATGGATCTTATCATGTCATTATCCTGCTTAAAACATTTCAGTAGTTCTTAATGACATATACAATTAAATTTTAATTTTTCCTAGCTATAAGTAGCCACAACTATTAGGCAAAAAAAAAAAAAAAAAAATCCAAATAGTAGCTCGATACAGCTATCAACAGATAGAGAACTGCTGTGGCTGAAATACGGTTAGGAAAGCTCATCCAGGTGGATCCCTCTGCTTCCCTCACGTGGAGACCCCAAAGCCTTTTCCAGGATCCTCTGTAGTGCAGCAAATGGAAACACCTATAAGCCGTTGGTATGGACCTCAGGAGAGTCAACTAAGTTGATGGCAGAGACTTCGGTGGTAGTGGAAGCAAAAGCCAGGGACATGCTCTTTCAAAGTGTACAGAGTTGAGAAGGGAAGAGGGCCTTAGAGATAGACAGCTCCAAGAGTTGTATTGATACGATGCCCCTAGGCCATGTAATAGTCAGTAACATCATGTTTCTTTTTCACTTTTCAAACTCTATGAGCATGTCTTATCAGAGAATTTAGGCTCTGATTGTGTTAGACCATTTAACCCAATCAGATGCTTGAGGACAAAGTGAGGCTAGTTGAAGACCAAAATGCAGCAGATATCAAAAACTGAGAATAATTATTTGTAATTTTATGAATTGTTCTTTTGTTTTACTCTTATAGTTTTTTTCAGGTAAAAGATTTGTGATTTGCTTCAATAATCTCTGAGTCTTTTTTTCTTTCACAAAGCTTTTTGTTTCAGAATTCCCGAGTTAACCAACATTTCATGTGCTACCATTTCTGATAAGGGTCAAACAGGCTTAAGAATGGAATTTCAAAACTATCATAACTGAATATGCTAATTATCCTCCTTTTTTCTTTCACAAAGCTTTTTGTTTCAGAATTCCTGAGTTAACCAACATTTCATGTGCTTCCATTTCTGATGAGGGTCAAACAGGCTTAAGAATGGAATAGAACTATCATAACTGAATATGCTAATTATCCTCCTGCTCTTGATATCAACCTGTATTTATTCTGTATGTCTATTTAAGAATTCAGCCTTTTTTGGTGTTCTGTGAAGACTAAAGAGCTGTTTAGATGCAGTTTGTATTCTGTTATGGAACATGACCTAAGGGTCGTGCATTTCAGCAGGCTTTACATACACTGTCAGGAGGGAGGGAGGAGAAAAGGTAAGAGCTGGACAGAGGGCACCAGGCAGGTAAGAGAGCAGCCTCCAACTAGACCAGACTGTCCAACTCTGTTCGCTTTTATCCATCCTCATTCCAAGACCGGTTTGAGTAAAACTTGTCCTTTTGTGTCTCGTGTGGGCTTCAGCAAGCAGGTCTTCAGTGTTGCTTCCCTTTGACTCTAACCACCCCCACCCCTACCTCCTATCTACTGAGGCCTCGTTTCTGTCATTACAGTAGGTGTTTCTGCTTCCACCCTTATAGCCTTCCCCCATCACACCCTGGAGCTGACTTGTTTCTGACCACCAGTCTTTGCTGTCAGACTGTATAGGTGGCTCCCTCAAGGCTCCAGATGGATCCTAGATGCTCCGTGGGATCTGGCTGCTGGCATCTGTCATTTACTGGCTGTTCCAGGCCTTCCAGCTGAGGAGCCCTCTCTATCCCCATCCTCCCCACTTTCAACTGGGACTTCACAGAAACTGACGCCAATGAAAAGCAGAAAATATGTGTCAATTGTCTGAAGCTTCAAACTGATTTTGATTCTCTTCTAATCCTTTTAAATGTAATATGTGTTTAAATTAAGTGTAACATAGACGAAAAATGGTAATGTTATCCTAGCCTATTCCAGTGACACTCTAAATGGTTAAGAAAATTGAGTGTCGGATTTCGTGTGTTGTTGAAATGAATAGCCCTTCCCAGAGTGGCTGGAGTCAGATTCTCACCCAGCAGGAGCAGTTTTAATGACTGACGAATCCAGTAACCACAGGAAGCAGCCTGACCTCCAAGCATTGCTGACCTCCTACATTGCCTCTCCTTTCTGTTTTTCAGGTACCACGTGTTTGATTGCTCTACTATCAGATAAAGACCTCACTGTGGCCAATGTGGGTGACTCGCGTGGGGTCCTATGTGACAAGGACGGGAACGCCATTCCTTTGTCTCATGATCACAAGCCTTACCAACTGAAGGAGAGAAAGAGGATAAAGAGAGCTGGTGAGCTTGTGAACGCCTCCGAACATGGGTGAGGGGGCTCTCCTGGGACATAAGATGCTCCCTTACCAGCGATTAGTAAATTAGCATAGAGGCTGCTGCTGAGGTAGCTGAGACGGGGCTTTGTGCAACTCCCAACAAATAAATGGCTACAAATTTGCCCTTCTTCGTGGCCAAAGATTCCAAAAGGACCAAAAAAGCCCTTTACTAGTTTAAAAGCTAATGAGATCTTTGGTCCCCTGCCTGCCATAACCCACATTCCTCCAGCCAAACTGCTAGCCATTCCCCAAATGAACCATGTTTCTGATACCTCTGTGCCTTCGGAAGTGCCATCCCCACTGTCGAGTGGGTGACCATTACTTGTCCTATAAGACTTAATTTAAGAGTGTCCTTTTGGAAGCCTTCCCTGTCACACTATGCCATAGGCTCCCCTAGTCTGGGTTAGGTACCCCTTCAGTCTTTTCCCAGTATTTCGTGTGGACCTCTTGGGTCACCTTTCATAATGTATGCTCATACCAAGTTCTCTTATCTGTTTTGCCTTCTCAACTGAACTCTTTGAGGCAGAAACTTAGTCTGTTCATTTCTATCCTCCCAGCACCTAGTGCAGTGCCTGATATAAGTGAATAATTTGGAGGAGGGGGGGTGGTCCTTTTTTTTCTTTTTTTCATTTTTCAACAACTAGGGGCTGGGAATATATACTTACATTCTGGAATTGGGATAGAGGTAGAGAATGTAGTAGACAGACATTAACAAATAAATAAGTAAAAATGTAGTCTATTATAAGATGATAACTGCTATGGAAAGACATAAAGCAGGTAAGGGAAATGGGGAGTGTCAGGGGTGGTCATTGTAGGCCTCACGAAGGTGCCACTAGGACAAAGCCTCGAAGGAATATTATTAATTGGTGGTTATATTTTTATAATTTGATTTGGGAGGATTCTTTTCTACCTGCAGAGAGGGGAAATCCTTCCTTCCCTTCTGACAATGTGTAGGCTCTGCATAATATGCCAGGCGGCTGGCCCAGCTGCCAGGAGGGCACTCATGTACCCCGGGCCTCTGACCAGGATAGGCCCCTGCTGCCTAGGGGTAGTCTGCAGATTGACTCTCAATCTCTACAGGTCAGCTCTGCCCGGAACCTAATCAACATTTGAGTTTTCTCAGTAGGAAGCTGTACTGTTGAGTCAAAAAATGTTGAATTTTATTACACCATCCTGCTTCAGTAACTGATTGAGACACAGAATAATTTTTAATGAAAGCTTTGGTCAGGTTTTCTGTTAATGAGATGGAACAATTTTACAGGAACATCTATCAAGCTTTAATGAACTGCAGGCCGTATGAGTGAAATATTCTGACTTCCTTGTTTACGAAGACACCATCTCCCCATGAGTCCGCTGTGAACCTGAACTTAAGATACAGTTAGCCTGCTCTTGTGTAAGCAGGCAAGGATGTGTTTACAATACACCTGGAAATGTCATCCTAGCATCCAGTGCTCTGTTCTGAAATGTCACTCGCATTTTATCCTCCCTCTTCTTTCATGCCATACCCACCACCTGCACCCTGCAGTGGTTTTTTTTATAGAAGCAAATTTGGACACTGTATCAGAGGAGCTTAATCTAACCTGCTATGTCCAGGAGGTATTCTATAGCAAGGCTTAAGGAACGATGATTGGTTTTATTATCTTGATGTGTGTTTTCTCTTACCTCACGCTTTCTTTCAGGACATCTTTCCCCGCTCCTGCTTTGCATGGCAATTCACTGCCAACCAGTCTGGGCCAAATACATTTTGGTCTTTCTATAGCCATTCCTGGTGCTGTTTCCAACAACAGTAATATCAGCCGCCATCTATCATGTGCTTGCTCTGTGCTGGGAGTCGGGCCTAGTGATTTACACACACTTTCTCTTTCCTTGACTTATGAAACCAATTTATAACATTATCTTCCATTTTACAACCAAGAAAGTGGAGCCTCCAAGAGGCTTGTGTGCCCAAGGACACATAGTTAGCAAATGGTGAGACTTGAATTGAGACCCAGGATTGTCTGACTCCAGAGCCCATGCTCTTTTCCATGAGACGACACGTCCTGGAATGTTTTCATACATCCTGTCTGTAGAAGTCTTACCCATCATTCACAGCCCAGCTTTAATGCTCACTCCTCCCTGATCATCGCAACCTCTATCTGCCTACAGCACTTAGCAGGGACTAGTCTCTCCCTGAAAGAATACTGCTTTGTGTTCGTAGCTGTTAATATACATGGCTTTTCCTTCCTGCCAGCTCGTCTACTTCTTTAGAGAAAAGTCTGGATCTTGTTTAACTTTATAGCCTGCAAATCACTTTGCATAAAGAATCTATTTAATAACTATCTGACAAACAATATGTGAAAGAACAAAGTCCTAACTACCTTAAAGAAAAATAATAATAGATAATACCGAGTGCATGTTATATTCAGGTACTGTGCTAAGCGGTTTATATGGAATAACTCCTTTATTTCTCACAATTCAATGGAATAGGTACTCTTAATGTCTCCATTTTGCAGCCAAAGAAACTGAGGACCAGAGAGTTTCTCATCTAAAGTTACACTTAGCTAGAAGCAATAGAGCCAGACATCAAATCCAAGCAGTCTGACCCGAGATCCCAGGCCTTGAAACACCATGCTTAAAATACAAAGTTCTTTAATACCGATCCTGCTTGGGGTGTTGTTTTGAGCTCTACATAGGCACAGTCAAAAGCGGCCTCAAGTTAAATGATGAATCCCAGGGGTTGTTTCTGGTAGCCGTTCACCTGCCTTTCAGGACTCTTTTTCCACTCTCCTTGAATCCCCTAGGACTCCCTACTGTCTGTCAATCACTGAGCTGTCAGGTGGTCGTTAAGTTAAAACTGATGCCCTCGCCCATACATGTCTCTTACCCTCAATATTCTTATTGATATTTTCTTGAATTGCTTTAAGATACCAAGCATGAGGGCAAGAGCATCTACTGATAGAGTGTGAAACCCCAAGCCGTGGACCAGGAGAGCCATTCCTTCCTGGCAGAGCCAGGGTAGGGTGAGGGGAACACATGCAATATGTCACATGCAATAGGTCAGCCTTTCGTACACATGTCCTACTGTACCAGGTGTGTGAGATATCAGCTGGTCAGGCTAATGGACTCATTCTTTTTCCAGGTGGTTTCATCAGTTTCAACGGTTCCTGGAGGGTCCAGGGAATCCTGGCCATGTCTCGATCCCTGGGGGATTATCCACTGAAAAATCTCAACGTTGTCATCCCAGATCCAGATATCCTGACCTTTGACCTGGACAAGCTCCAGCCCGAGTTCATGATCTTGGCATCAGATGGCCTCTGGGATGCTTTCAGCAATGAAGAGGCTGTTCGATTCATCAAGGAGCGCTTGGATGAACCTCACTTTGGAGCCAAGAGCATAGTTTTACAGTCATTTTACAGAGGCTGCCCTGACAATATAACAGTCATGGTGGTGAAGTTCAGGAATAGCAGCAAAACAGAAGAGCAGTGAACCCTTTGGGGTCTCAGCTGCCTTAGACTAAAGAACTTTCTACCCACTGGTCTCTTTTAATGTAGTGAAAAGTACGGAAGTTACAGTTAGGATCATCCATCCCAGACATGGGATTCCCCCTCCCTGGCAGTCTTAGGTCTGTATTCAGTGATGATGAACAGAGGGTGCTCTTGGCCGATGAAGTGAGGGACTGGAAAATGGTTTCTTCGTGTTTCCCAACTCTTTCATCCGATGTTCAAAATATATAAATATATAGTTGTAGATTCACATGTATGAAGTGAATGGCATACGTGCCATATATTCTCCCTTTTAAGATTCTTTTCAAGATCACTTACAAGGCCCTTCAGGTATAAGACTTGGTGTCCTCTCTTTGGAGCAGTGAGCAGGACAGGCCTCCCAGAGCTGCAGGAGACGGGCCACAGCGTCGTCGCCTGTGAGTCAGGGCTCATGCGGCGGTGGCCTTTGCTGAGGACAGAGGTGTCCCGAGAATGCTTTGTCCTTCTGAGCCCAGGTTTTCTACTCAGCAGCAGCCCAGAAACAGATTTGGAATGGTTTATCATTCCATGGCTGCTCTCGGAGACTGAGGGAAGTGAGGACGATGAGAGCCGCCTGCGCAGCAGAAATACCCTTTATTCCTCGCTCCCTTCATTAGTTAAATAGACTTTGTGGACCACCTGACCAGTCTTTGTGCATTGATCCCAATTGTGCATGACCTTAACCTTTTGCTTCCACCTTACCTTATGTAATAGGCAGCTGTTAAAGTTCACTACCAGACACCACGATTTTTTGTCTTATGTTACCAAAAAACCTATTAAGGGAAGTGAAAAAGGCAAATCACAATGCTATAATCCTTTTCATCTTTAAGAGTAGGTAGAGGAAAATAATGGCTGAGTAAGTCACAGTGCCCTTTGGGAAGTCTGTTGTTTGCATTGGGAGAGAAAGCTCACCAGCTTACCACCCTGAATTGAGCTCCAGCTGCCAGTTTTTGTGAGTTTTTTTCTCCTATCCTCATGACTTTCAAGTGTCTTTCAAGAAGTGTTCTGAGAGGCAGCAGCCTAGAACTGCGTGTGTGTTTCTCGAAACCCAGTACGGAGTTCCCAGCCGCATTTTGGAATTTGGTGGTGAACTACCGGGATGTGCTTCCCATGACAGTGGGAAAGCTGCGGCCTTTAACATTTGGTTGCAGATCCCCATCCACAGCGGGTAGCTTTCCCCAGGCGAACCATGCAATGGCAACAAAGCTAGTTGGGAATTCAAGTTCAAACCTGCATTGTTAAGCGGCCAGAGTTATTTGGGAGCCAAGCTTGCTGCTCTCCGTTTCCTATCACCAGAGTCACACTTCCAATCTCAGTATTTTGTAAGTTCATTGACAGAAAGTGCCAGGTCATCCTGTTTGCCTGATTGAGGTGGCTCAAACAGCCAAACAAGAATTTTTGTTGCGTTCTCACCCCTCTGTGGCTGAAATGCCAGGGCATCCACCAGGTTATGTTCTTTCCGAGTGGGCGCTTGTAGTTACAGCTTCTCGAAAGCCCCAGTCACTAGCCACCTCCTCCACTGCCTAACTTCAGCTGCGGAGCTTTCCAGAAGCAGCTCCAGGAGAGAACTGGGGAAGATAAAAAGATTCCCCTGTGGCTACCGAGGACTGCAGCCTGCTCCCACTTCTCCAAGCACTTAACCTTTCTTTGACTGCAACGAGAATTAATAATGGTGTCCCGAGGATTTGCTTACTTTGGTAAACTGTACCATAGAATTTCTAACATTAGAATTAGAATCTTGGTTACTTATTTATTTTTAGCCGTAGAATGTTGTAGTACAAAATATCTAGCACCATTTTAGATTGAGGTATTTACCTGTTGAGAGACACCGAACATTCGGATGTGAGTATTAGGGGTGGGAGTCGGGAGGGGGATGTGGGAAACGTGCTGTTTGTGATCAGTGATGGAATGCTAAGGCCAGGTGACTTGAGTTTGCCTGGAGATTTAGGATATTCTAATTCTTGACAGTTACCAAAGCCCACAATCTAACCGAAGTTAAGGAATAAGCAATTTCAGCATTTTATGGTACACGGTCAATTTTTCTTTTTTTCTTTTTAACTTAACTCCCAAATTCATAATAATAAGGAAAAGACATTTTAAAATTCCATGATCATTGTTTTTGTCTAAAATGAAAATAGGTAATGTTTTGCTGAAGATGAAAAAGAACAGCTATTAAATTAGTCAATGAGTGTTTATTTGCCCTGCAAAAGAGTAGATGGCGCTGGGTGCTGCAGTTCATGACTTCCTCTCTACTGAGGTGCACAAGGCATCTTCTGATTCATTTCTGACTTTAACCAAGTAGTTTGTGTATTTCCTATTCCCTTCTGCCTCTTTTCCTCCTACTTTGGCTTGTAGATTTTTAAAAAGATAGACGTTCTAGGCAAAATAGTAGCAGCTTGAGTAATACTTGTGCCTAAAATCAGAGTACTTTGCTCTGTCCCGCTGTCCTGGAGTTTCTCTCCAGACCAACCCACCCCCAGTTGTCGGGGGTCTCCAGACATCACCCCCTTAGGTGCCCTGTAGCTCATGGCTGCTCTCATTTTCCAGGGACAAGGAAGGTTGAATCTAGCCATTAGGGAAATTGATTTGAGAAGTTTGCATGTGAAGCTTCCCTAAACGGCACTGCCAAAGCTTTGAAATTGTCACCCGAGGCTGCCCAGACTCCCTAGCTTGAGTTCTCATTGCCAATAACCCCCATGGTGCCAAATTTGGAATGGTTTTACAGTCTATTAGAAATAAATCTGGAAACGAATGATCCTGTACTTACGAGCCCCTTGCAAGATGCCAAGCCCAGGGCCTCGTTAATGTGTGGCTCTGCTAGTCCACTGGCAATCTGTACCCTTAAAATGGGTGGAGATTTGGGTTGGGGGTAGAAGGCCAGGAATTATTTTTTAATTCATTGTATTTGCAGTTCTCAAGTCAAAGGAATAAACAATACTTACATAGAAAATTCTAAAGCTAGTTCCCAAGACCTGCATTTATTTTATGTGACCGGTTAGCCCGAGGCACTTAATTCTGAAGTTGCTGTTCTAATACACATATGTACACATTACTGGTAACCAGTGGCTACATTCTATTCCTGCCTTTGATAGAAGGTATTGGCCTCTTGAATCTTGTCTAATAAGAGTATTACAGAGAGTGTTTTACAGAGTGAAGGAGCATGTGCAATCCGGATAATTTAAAACAGACCTTATTTCATAAACCTTTAATGATTTCAGCACTCATACATTTTGTGCAAACAGGATTGCATGAGAGTGATGACATCATCGTTTCAATCCTATCTGAAGTAATTCTAGGAAATTGGTTACACGGTTGAATTGGATCACTGGGATATCTGGCAATACATGAGGGATTCACAATGGCAGTGATCACGCCTTTCTTTGACAGGTATACCTTGACTTCCTGATTTTTTCCCCGAGTTGTTGCCTGATCAAACTCTCTTGCAACTGTGTCAATGAAGAAGATTTAGAAAGGGCAACATGTCACTGTACATTTGAAAGTATAGGAGTATATACTCCGGATAAAGCACTATTTTCCCAATTGCAGAAAAATATTTCCTCCTTTTGACCATCATTAGACCGATATTCCCTTACTATTCCCCCTTACTATTCCCTTACTATTCCCCCCCAAATTGCCTTAACTCATCACACCAGCATTCCTGACCCAGAAATGACATGACTGTTAGATACCACGCTGACGCCTATTTAACTGCCTCTAGGTGAAATCGTCGATATCGAAACTTTTGAGCTAGTTAGCTGCACACTACAGGAGTAATAGAGTCACAGTGTTCCCCAAAGCGTGTTTCACAGAACACAGGTTCCAAAGATACTCTCCAAATACAGGGTTGCAGGGTCAAACGGCAAAGTTTCTAATTTAAATGCTTTGTAGGGGAGAAGAAACATACCACAGATGTAATTTCAGTTAGCTCAGTGTTTTCCAGGTTAATTTGATTACAGAAACTTTTTTGAATAACAGCTAGTAACATGCTAAGGAGCACATGTTCCACAGGACCCACTGGAAAATTCTGGTAAAAAGAAATATTACTGTCTTCTCATTCATTATAACTCTGTAGTAGCAGTACAATTTGCAATTTAGAAGCACTAATCCATTCGAGTAAGAGGCTGATCCATTAATAAGAGCAGTGTTAATTAGTATCATTTAATCTGATCATCAGCAACCCCAGAAGCCTAACAAAAGCAGAAGCCTAACAATCCTGTTTGAAGCTCTAACCATTGCCCCTCCCTTCTTTTATGTGAATAATAAGTATGAGCTATGCCATACCTAGAGATTTCTCAAGTTCATTCCAAGAACTTTCAGTTGCTTTTTTGAATTTATCTTTGCCTTCAGGATTAAATCAAAATATTTTTATTTTTCATCACTATGTCAGAGCAAAAACAAAATGTATCAGAAATAATCAAAAATGGGGAAAAAGTTATATTTGATTTTAATTCATTTAAAATTTTTTAACTAGATTTTTTAAATTATGTATCCATTGTATAATAATGCAAATGTAAACTATTAACACATTCAATGAAATAATTTGAAATCAATCATTTCAAATTATTGGTTCTAAAATATTTGTCCCATGTTGTCCCGCTTTTCACATTTTATATACAGAATTAAGTTTGGCAAGTTATCTCTTGCCTAAAATGTCAGACTTGATTATAGATCCATAATTGTCAATCTCAACCTGGGCAATGAGTTTGGGAGACTCTGAGAGATAATCCCAAAATAATGGATGAGACAAATATAGTTGGAAACATGCTACAAAGTGAATTTAGGGTAAAGTGATTAAAATTACATCCAATATTTAGGAATACACTCGCCTTCTGGATGTTATCCAAAATAGTAAAAAACCAAAAGTAAAATCACTTAGACTAAGTGGCAGATTACAAAAGACAAGTGACAGTTGACACTATAATGTTTCCATTAGATATGAGCTTCTAAATATGCTTTCTAATATGTAATTTTTTTGCTAATTCTTAATGTTGATACTTTGTCCATTTCTTTTTGTTTGTTTTACTACTGTTAAGCTGCAAAATGTTAAACCAAGGGTTGATTATGATAATTTTCATGTGTTTAGTAATAACCACACCATCATTTATACAATCACTTTAATAAATCCAAGTTAAGGACTTTGAAGAGAGCACTTAGTAACTGGTCATTTTGACAAATCATCATAAGGAATTTCACAATTCCACCAAAAAAAGCAAGCAAAACTCCACCAAAAAGCAAGCAAGCAGCAAAGATGTGGATTATATTTAGAGATATAATGCCGCTTATTCAAGAAGACCTATAATCTGGCATTATTTAACCACAAAATCCCCTCCGACATTTGCCAAATTCAAATTTAATCTCAAAAACCTCCAGGGACTAGAGTCCAGAGCTCTGAGAAAAGCAGCTTACTATGAAGGCTCTGGTGGTGGATTGTGGTGGGGGCAGGTAGGGGGTAGGACAAGCTGCCTGGGTCACTGACTGCCTCTGTAGGAGACAGACCTTGTGTCAGCCACACTCCTCACTTTTTGTCATGAGGATATTCAGAGGTTAAATGTGATATCATGCATTATCTCAACATATGTCTAGATTAATTAGACAATACATGATTTAAAATGTGCTCGTGTAGAAGCAAAGGTAGAGGTAATAGTCAAGGAATTAGGGGAAAAACCTTTAACATACTCAGACATTAAAAATGTAAAAGGTAGGTTATCTAAAATTTGGATGATCAGACTTTTACCATGCATAGGTTGTATTTAATAGTGATTTTTGACATAGTACATCGATCAATAGAAGACAGTTCCCACTTTTAACCTATTCAAATGCAAGGCTTCCCATTTGGAGTATTGGCTAATGCTTTGCTTACAAGTTAAGACAGAATTCTAAAGCTCCTTTTCATAGGACTGATGGCACAGTTAGATTCGTATTTAAAAAAAATAGGAACACTTTTAATCAAAAAATGCAAAATTAATTTTCAATGTGGTCAAAGTCAGAATATAAAGAAAACATTTTTAAGAAAATATAGAAGAAAATCAAAGGAGAATATAAAAAAGAAATATTTTAAATTAAGAAAAGGAGATATTTTATTACATCATGAATCATGCTTTCTGATATTTGTGCTCTTTCTAAAAATGAGGAGATAACACTGAAATATTTTGTAAAGTTATTTGTAAAGTTACAGTCTATTTCATGCATTCCCAATGAAAATGAATAGATATGGTATTATTTATTGCTGTACTGAACTACCTTTTACTGTCCTATGTTCTGTGCATTTTCAAATCCTAGCCATGGCTTTACCATGAATCTTAAGAATTTATGCATTTTCAAGGAGGAAATATCCCTTTATAGAATTTTGAAAATAATATGATAGACCTTCCATTTTAGAATGCCCAGATAAAACTAAAGTCAGATAAACATAGTCAGTTACAACTGAGAGTGAGTTTAACACACTGGTCATGTTCCATGGGGCAACATGAGTACCAGTGAGTATTCAATTTAAACAGACAATTTCAAAAACAAACAAACAAACAAAAACTACAAGATAATTTAACATTCTTGCTTCTTAGAGAGTTTTCTAATCCATATAATGCAAAAGGTAATGTTTGCTCATATTAAAAAATCCTGCAGTATGATGTATTATACATCTCTAACCTAAGACAATGATGCCTGTTGTGCAAAATTTAAATTCCCATCTGTCTTAGTATGTGTAAGGACACTGACTGCTTAATTTAATAATGAAATTCCGCTTAGGTATAAATCCAGCTATGGGGGAAAAAACTAGAACCATTGAAACTTATGCAAGAATATTCCTCTGTTTAGGCTCCAAGACCACAACTAGTCTTTATAAGTTTCATCTTGATTGCCCTTTTATCTCAAGCATACATTCAGGCAATGGAATAATAAATACAAAAATGGAGAAAACCCAATAACTTTTGTTTCTATTTTAGAAAGCAGTGTTTGCTCTTTTTAATTTATCTGAAATACATGTTGACCTTGAAACATTAACATCTACAGCATAGTCTTCAGTTTACTCTTCGATTACTAAAGCAAATGGTTTTGATTTACAGCACTTACATAACTTCAATTCAAATTATAGAGTTGAAATTTATTTTGCAATGCCTCAACATTCCTGTGATCAGCCAGAAAAAAAGAAAACGAAAACAGAAGACGAAATTCTAGTGAGTGCAGAGGAATGGTTATTCTGACAAGCCTGGAAAATAGTAATGAAACAGTTAATTCCAAAATGCCACTGTGTGAACTGTGTTCATATACATAATTCTTATATGTCAAATGGACAAGGTGTGTTTCCTTTTAATATAACATCATTGCGTTTATCACAGATTGATCTACCTTGTGAACAGATTGAATTGGGAAAGTCAGTATTTGTGCTATAAGTAAATCTGCTTATATATTTTATTCTTTCCTTTATTAATTTTTTTTTTCTGAGCACCTACCATGTGCCAAGAAGAGATAGTCTAATTGAGTGTACCTAGTAGTGAGCACTCAGGCACCATCCCTGCCTTCTTGGCACTTAGATCACAGATATTATAACGCTCGGTATTGGCTGAATGGGGGAAAATTAGCATCTTTCATGATTTTCTCCTACAGGTTTAGATTTGTGAGGACAGGCAGAATTGGAGTAATTCTTTCCTACACATCATAAGGAGTAAATGGTAATAGATTAGGAATATCTTGCCTACATTCAAGCAAATTGCATCAAATAATTACTCTGTGTTAGGTCACCTAAGTTCCCCAAGAAGGGAGTCAGGAGGTGAAACAGGAAGCCGTGGGGACCAAGACAGGGATATGGCTGTCCCAGTGGAAGGACACCCCTGGAAGCCTCTGCCCAAGGTGGACAGCAGCTATGCAAAGGTTCAGTAGTACATGGTCAAAACCAGGGTGTCTCTCCCTCCAGGATCCTTCTGGAGGAATAACAGAATTACAGAAAAGAAAAGAGAACAACAAGAACATCTCTCCATGGCCTATTTTTATTTTTGTCCCCAAGAGACTGTTTATTATCAGTGTTCCTGAGTATATAAATTAGTGGATTTGTTATATAGAAAAAGTAACATTTCGGGAATACAATTATTTCTTGATTTTAAATATGATCAGAAGATTAAATGTCAAATTTTGTTGTAAATCATAAATTTGGTACCCATAGTTACTTTAGACATTCCAGAACCTAGAAATGAGATTTAAGTTTTATATTTTGAAAAAGAATAGCAACATCTATCTTCTGCATGGCAAAGCAAAACTAAATTCCAGATTTTTATTTTTAACACAAAAGTCATCACTTCTTTCTAAATTCTTTGCCTAGTCATTTTCCCCTAAACATCTTTCTTTTTATGCCAATTGATTCTTTATCCAGTAATATTCGTTATTACCAAATTACATTAGATCCCTATGAATTAAAATAATAATGAATGAAAAGAGATTGGGAATATCTCGTTGTGATCAGAAATAGAATTTTTTATTGTTGTTTTGTTTTTAAGCATGAAAACATATAAGGAAATCCAAATTAAGTCAAGACAATTTCTGACTCAACAAGATTAAAACCATAGGTGGAGCCCAATTATTAAGGAAGGAAAAGAGAAAAAGAAGGGTTGGAGAGAGTAAGAGAGGGAAAAAAAAACCCCACATAACTGAGTAATGTTTTTCACGAAAGGTATATCTCAAAAGTTATGATCTCTTTTTTGCTGAATTTTGAAAAAATAACTTTGTATAAGCTTACACTATGTCTATTTCAATATCATGGAAGTTATTCCATCAGCATTTTCTTGCTATTTCAAAAATCATTAGAGGTTGTTTATAAAAAGATACCAGGATCCATAACTTATTAGACAATGCTTTCTTTTAGGATTGTTCAAATTGTATTTAATAGTTAAATCACAGGTCGAAATGACTACTCAAATCAGTCAGGCTCTCTGGTAAGTTAGTCTGAAAACTTTCCTTGATAAGTACAACAGAACCTTGGCAAAACTTCATTACTCTTCATACCCTTCAGAAATTTTTATACCTTCTATTCTATATTTGTCTCTAAGAGACATTTGAAACAAAGTTAAAATGTCGATTTGGTGTAGAGCTCAGAGTATATGACAGTGCACGGTCACTCGAGATGCATGGTGTGTCATTCAGGTCCTTTCGATGTGTACTAGGGGTAGATTTAGACTTGTAGAGACTAAGGTGTTCATGCAATCACTGATTCTGTGTTGTGGTATACAAAATGAACAGCTAAAATTTCACCCTTAATGAGAAAATTAAAGCAAAAATAAACCCATTAAAGTTATTGGACTTTATGCATGGACTGCTGCTATTTTTTTTAATATGGTTAAATTCATTTTCCATTCTAATGTCTGCTCTGAACTTTTATAATTTCTTAATGGTTTTGAGTTAGAGTAGCCGTTGAGTTTGGAGTACACATAGAAAGCAAGGAGTAGCTCATGGGCAGAGGATAAGACCAAAGCATAACAGAAGCAAGAGATAGGAGACATGGAGACTTTGGGTGCTTTCATTTGGAACAAGAATAAGCCTGACAATGGTTCAAAACAAGGTAACTTAAAAAATGTATATAAATCTATGCAACAAAAGTTGTTTACTGTTAACATAACATAACTTTTATCCATCTTAATACTTCATTAACCAAGTTTATATCGTATAACCAGTATTGGGTGATAAGGGTTAGATTAGCTAGCTATACATACATTTAAACTCCAGCAACATGGCATGACACACCTCTGAGAAAGATGTTCAGAAGAGAATATCAATCTGCAAAGATTTTAACAAGATGCAGGAAGGAACACTGTGGAATTTGAAGACTGAAACACACACACATGCACATGCACACATGTAATACTTTATATTAGGTATTCTAAAGATGAAATGCTCAAACATGAACAGCTCCTAGGACCTAGAAGAACAATAAAAGTCACTAGATTGCTGAATTTGGAGTTGAGTGTAATGAAGCTAAAAATGTGACCTTGGATTATTTTTTCTTTTTTTCACTAAAAATAATACTTGATAGCCAGGCTAGAAAACGCTGCCCACAAATTCTGGTCTTCCACTCCTTTTACTGGGTAGAAGATTTCTAACATAGAAATGAAGGATGTGATTAGAAATTTTAGGATGGATATTTGTTATCTGGATTAGAGTAAGAATTATAGACTTCTAATACCAGACACAGATCCAAAGAAATAGTAATCAAAGGCCACAAACACCCCACTTTCACTTTTAATGATGGGTTATATTCTCTCTCTCTCATTCTGTCTCTCTTTCCTTCCTGTTTTATTTTAGAAATATAGTAGTGACACTACCTGTTTTTTGAGGTAACAACAGCAGATCGTGGTAGCTTCATAGAAAGTAGACTTTAATATTAGGATTTTAGGGGTACCTCATGGATCCAAGAGTTTTATGTATTTAAATGGGGCCTCGGGAACAAGTCATACCGAAGACTTAAAAACCATCAAGGAGACTATGGGGTTTTCTCTTCCAACTCTCACAGATTAACTGGTAGCCACCTAGGTCATCCACTGTAAACAACTATAAAGCTGGACAAACTATATCAGGCAACTGTTTTCAGACATTGGACAACAGGCAGCTCAAGGTAACAATCCTTGAGAGAAGAATCACAAGTTATCCATGATCACCTCAGCTGTCTGTGAAAGGACAATTTTCTGATTGTGGCACAACGAGGTGGAGTGCCAGCAGAGCTGGACTGACCTGAAGATTCAGAAACCTGAGTTTGGAGCAAGTGACGTGCCTAGACTCTGTGGAGAGCTGTGTAGAAGGTGAGCTTCGGAAGTCAACGCGTGGAAACCTTCATGGGTCTTTAGCTGAAGGCTTTACTGCGCGTGCGCAGAGTGAAATGCCCGCGGCTTAACAGACAGTGGCTGCTATGGGATTGAGAGTGAAATAGAAATACGTGGAGAATATCAAGTTCTGGTCCATACAGAGTGAAGAGACGTCATTAACGCGTTCTTAACAACCTAGACATCCAGCTGAAACACTAATGCCGTACCTGAAGAGGAAACACCACTCTCTAAATTAAGGCCAACTTCAGACCTAGCCTGATTCAGCCTAAACCAAGTGCTGACAAGAGGCAGGAGAGACAGAGTTGGGAAGTTGAGTTCCAACAACTTGAAAGAGATTGGAAATATGCTAGGCTTTTACAGACCAGCTGAAATAAGTCATAATACATCTCCATAAAAAACAGGATCAAGTTATCAGCTAATAACCAAACTACTCACTAGAACAAAAATAAAAACTAAAAATGCTTCAGAGGAAGATAATAGAATCCAGAATATTTACATATTTATATCATTTGCATTGGCCAGTACAATAAAATTAAGAATTACCAGACATGCAAAGAAATAAGAAAATGCAACCAAGAGTCAAGAAAAAACAGCAGTAATAGTAAACAGTTCTGAGATGCCTAGATATTGATCTAAGCAGACTTCACAGCAGTTATAATATGTTCAAGGAATTAAAGATAGCTATGATCTTAACAAGGAAATAGATAAGGAATCTACAGAGAAATGGAAAATTAAAAATGAAAATTCAAGAACAGAAAAGTAAATAACTAATGAAACATTCACTGGATTGGCTTAACAGAACTTGGAGATAGCAAAAGAATTAGTCAGTGAACTTGATCAAAACAAATTACTCAATCTGAAGAAAAGATAAAGAAAAAGATTGAAGAAAAATTAATGGAGCCTCAGGGACATGTAGGACACTATGTAACAGTATAAGATACACATCATTCAAATACAAGGAAGAAACAAGAAAGAATGGAGCAGAAAAATATATGAGGAAGTAATGGCCATGAAATTCTCAAATTTTGTGAAAACATCAACGTATAAAACCAGGAAGATTAGCAAACCACAAAGAAGCTGAATAAAAAGAAAGCACACTCCACAAAGAATTATCTGGCCCAAAATGTCAATAGTGCCAAGGTTGAAAAGCTTCGCTCTAAAGCAATCAATGAAAAAAAATATTTTAAAAGACAGAGAGTGGTATAGCTAAGGTGATCTGAGGAAATGAAATGAAATACTAATGATTAGTCAGTTAATTCAAAAGAAGGCACAATGGCACCGCAAAAGTGCAAAATGGAAAGTAAGTAACAGGATGGCACATTTAAGAAGCAAGACTCAAAATGGTACATTTAAACCCAATCATATCAATAAATTACATTAACTATAAATGGACTAAACATTCCCTAATGGAGAAAGAATTTTTTAAAATATTGCTGAGAACTGAATATTTATGTGGAAAAAAATTATTTCCAAACTTTCTCATTCTGAATAAAAATTTAAATTTGAGATGGATCATAGACCTAAATGTAAAGCCTAAAACCATAAAGCTTCTAGAAGAAAATATTAGAGAAACTCTCTCTGACTTTGGTGTAGATAAAGATTTGTTGGACAGGGCACACAAAGCATGAACCATAAAAGAAAAAATGTATAAGAGCAAAATGGTTCAAATACTTTTGAGAATTTTGTAATAAAGTTAAATACACTTCTACTCTATGACCTAGCAATTTCATTTTTAGGTGTTTATACGAGAGAAATGAAAACATAAATACACCAAAGAACTTGCCCAAGGATCTTCATACCAATCTTATTCATAATAGCCCCAAACGGGAAACAATCCAAATGGATAAAGAAAGTGTTGTTTACTCATCTAATGGAATAATACTCCTTAATAAAAAGAATAAACTTATGACAAACAAAACAACATGGATTGATCTCAAATACATTATATTAGGTAAAAGAAGCAAGATTCATACTGCATGAATACACTTACATGAAATTCAAAATGGCAAAACTAAATATATAGTGATAGAGATTAGGAAGTGGCTGCTCTGTAGTCAGGGGTAAGGAGTCAGGTGATGGGTTAGGGAGTCAGGTGATAGGGTAGGGGGGTTTGGTGATGGGGTAGGGGATTTAGATGATGGGGTAAGGGGTTAGGTGATGAGGTAGGGAGTGAGATGATGAGGTAGGGGGATTAGGGATCCACTGGAAAACGGCATTAGGAACCTTTCTGTGATGAAAGAAATGTTCTATATCTTGTTTTAAGTGATGGTTACACAGATCTATAAAACTGCCCAAGCTCACAGAACTGAGCATTTAAATTCTGTGCATTTTATTGTATGTTAATTATACTTCAATAAAAAACACCATTAACAATAGCATCAAAAAATAAAAAATATTTAAGAATAAACCTAATGAAAGATGTGCAAGATTTCTACATCAAAAACTTAAGAATATTGCTGATAGAAATTTAAAAAAGATATAAAAAATGGAATGGGAGGCCACATTCATAAACCTGAAGACTGGATATTGTTAAAATATCCTTTCCCCTCAGTTTTTAGATTTAATGCCAGCCGTATCAAAAATCTGGAAGACTCTTTTATAGAAACCTACAAGCTAATTAAAAACTTTTTGTGGAAATTCAAAGGATGTGTAATAGCCAAAACAACGTTGTGAAAGAAGAGTTGGAGGACTTATATTACCTGATTTTAAGACTTAATATGAAGTATATCAGTATATATTTAGTACAAATTTTACTCCAAAGTGCAAACGAAATCCAGAGCCCCCTTCCTCCGCTTCACCCCATGCACACCAGCCTTCTCCATTCTGCCCATTGTTTCTCAGGCCATCCCCAATGTGGTGGCTGGGGATTCTGGCATTATAGACAGAACATCTGACCAAAGAAAAAGAGCCTTTCTCCTTTGTCTTTTTTTATTAAGGGGGAACACCACAGAAGCCCACCAGCAAACATCCCTTGGGATCCCACTGGCCACGACTGCTTCACATGCTATGGCCTTCGTGATGGGGGACAGCCTTCCTTGGCAGTAGAGAGCAGGGGCAGAGCCAGGCAGGGCTGGCCGGTCAGCAGCCAGCACAGCGTGTGACCCTCTCGCTCTGCCCTCGCCTTTGCCCATGACATTTCTAACACTGCTTTTCACATTTACCTGAGTGTGTTAATATATTGTTAAAACACTTGTTATAATTTATCCTCATGGTTGAGAATGAAGTAATAAAAGGTGCTTTAAACATAAAAAAAAAATAACTGAGAGGCAAGTTTTGTTAACATTTTAGTATATTTCAATCCTGCTTCCCTCTTTCTGCTCTGGCCTCCGTGGCGGCCTGACATCTGGCCCTGCACTTTGGTGTCTCAATACTTGGATGAGTCATTGGTGCGGGGCGGAAGGAGCATCCTGGAAACCACTGCCACGCCAGGCCAGCAGGCAGCACCTTCACTGTGCATCGAAGTGAGTGCCAAGATTATATTCACTGAA